ACTTTGACAATGATATGCCCACCTCCTGGAGAGCGTCCTTCACTTGTCTGGATGTTGTGAATGGGTTTTTCTTCACCATAGAGAGGATCCTGCGATCATCCACCACTGTTGTCTTCCGTGGAAGTCCATGCCTTTTTATGTTGCTGAGCTCACCAGTGCATTCTTATTTCCTCAGAATGTACCAAACTGTTGATTTGGCCACTCCTAATGTTTCTGCTATCTCTTTGATGGATTTGTTTTGTTTTTGAAGCCTTACAATGGTAGTTTCACTTGTATGGACAGCTCCTTTGAATGCATGATGTAGGTTCATCAATGGATTCCAAATGCAAATACCACACTTAGAATCAACTCCAGACCTTTTACCTGTTTAATTGATAAATAAATAACAAAGGAGTAGCCCCACACCTGGCTATGAAACAGCTTTTGATTCAATTGTCCAATTACTTTTGGTCCCTTGAAAAAGGGGGGATGGCTATTCTTAAGAACTGTCATTCCTAAACCCTTCCTCCAATTTGGATGTACATACCCTCAAGTGAAACCTGAGAGTGTGCATATTCAGCCCATATCCGTTATATAACTATAGCTTGAATATGTTTTTGTAAATACCTGAAAAAAAACTAAAATTGTGCCTGTGTCCAAATATATATGGACCTAACTGTATATCTGGTTTGCTGCAGCTTCTAATATACATTATCTGAGAAGCTCACAATGTGCAGCGAAATAAAGTGTTTTGCTTTAAATGTGAATCATTTGTAACTTCTATCAATCCCTTTTGATCCGGCATCACTGTAACAATCACCACATACACTTAAAACCGAAGTATGTTTTTTTTTTTTTTTTTTTTTTTAAATCATTCTTACCTAGGTGGATGGATGCAGCTCCCGCTGAGTGAGAACTAAGTGATCAAACACCACTGCTCGCATTTGACGCTTGTAGAGGGCAGATCTGCAAAGCCACATAAAAAGGCTTGACGTCAACACTGGATTACCCCTTGATAATGTCCTATTGGAGGAAACCTGACGGGAGGAGTGTTTAGTGCTGACCTCACACAGCTGCACGATTCTGGGTTGGCAGTGGCTTTTCGTGTAAGCAAGCTGATTGTCTTGTTTTTGACTTGCTTTTAACAATAAATACTACATTTTTGGAGATTGGTGTTGATCTGGTGGAGATTTATTTGACACAGCTTGGTTCCCGCTGAGAGGTGCCTGTTGATGCAGTTATTGGGAGATACCTGACATACATTGCTGGCTGTGGAGATACTAGGTGAGCGCATATGCTGTTGTAATGGCAGCCATCTGTTCCGGTGAGTTTGTAATTCACAGGGAGGAGGTGGTGGACCTCTGATTGCACAATATGAAGAGTGATCACAACTGTCAAGGTGGTGGATAGATGGTTTCAAGAATTTCTCTGGGACTTTTAATTATTTTACTTGGACGTTATTCTACTTTATGTTTTAATCTTTTTTTTTTTTTTACTCTTTTGATCGTATGTTTGTTATCACACAATTATTTTGGTGGCGCTGCACGTTTTGATGATTGGTCAGTCCTCAGCAGAGAGCGGTGACTGTCAGCTGTGTCCCTCCTCCCCAGCTCTCACTGGAGCGCTGGGGGCTGTGGAGGGGCCGGGTGCAGCTGGCTCAGGTTCTCAGTGGCTCGCTGTGAGCCAGGTGCCGGTCCAGACATCTGAGTGGATCCCGACTTTAAAGTCAGAATCCTTCCCCAGCCTGGACCGGCTGAGTGACATCCACCAACAGTGGACTTTAGCCCACTGTCAGCTGAAAACAAGTCACAGGAGCACAAAACGAACTGGACCCCTGTGATCCACAGGAGAAGTACAGCAAAACAAGCGTTGGCTGTACTTCTTCTTTAAAGCACCAATACAAGGCAGACAGATATATGGACAGCAGAGGCATGCTTACTCACTGCCTTCTGGCTATGAGAGCAAATGGTGTTAATGGGCACACCAAGTACTGTATCTTTGTAGGCAGATTTAGGGCTCATTCACATGTACAGCAGTCCTTGCCGACACTCTAAACAGCGATTGCTTTTCAGAGGGTATTTGACGGGTGGTGAGGATATGTTGCCTTTCTCAATGCCTGATTTTAACCTGTAAATACCACACCACTGTGATGCAATTGCACGCAGTTGCAGTGCAGCCACATAGACTTGCATTGGTCACATTCACTGGTGGTAACACCCACCGAGTATCACATGCTGTTTATTATTTCTATGGCCACAAAGCACAGCATCGTGGAAGCACCATATGTACAGCCCTGAGCGGCTGCATGCCCTGGTTCGGGTGGGCAGTTGGGCAGCCGTGGCTCAACTGTCTGGATTTACTATCTCCTGGCTGCATGTGTGAAAAGCCTTAAATTAAAAATAAAAAAAAGACATTCTAACCCAATAAATCAAAGATTATAAAAGATCGTGTGCAATAATGAAGATGTTTATTGAAGTGCTTCTCTTTACTGGTAACAGTTTTTCTGGCTGCTCACATTAGTAGTGTCACCATTACATCAGTACCCTGAATTTAAGCCATGGTTGATTCAACAGCTGGGCACCACACTCAGTGTTAGGACCAATTCACATTATATACGGTGACAAATGGTTTACTGCACACTAAACTGCCTGTGTCTGCTGGGGACACATCGGAAAAACTGCTGAATTTTATTGCAGCGCAGTGGGCCAAATCACACTGCAATGGTGGCCAGCACAGCGCGCCACCCAACATTGCGTTTTGTACACTTCCAATAAAGATTGTACAAAACAAGAAAAGGGAGTAATGTGATGCGCTGAATTGTGCACCACACTGCCCCTTAGTGCAGCTGGTAATGGAGAGTGGTGATTGCTCTAGCGGTTCTGCGATTTGTCAGCTTGTATAGTGTGGAATCACTTTAAGTGCCAGCAGGGGCGTCCCTAGGGTTGGTGTCACCCGGTGCTGTAACACTTGGTGACACCCCCTCCAACAATCCCCACAGAATGGATCGGATCTGTGGATTGAGCATAATGGATCAGACTCCGACCCATCATGCTCAATCTGCAGATCTGATTCATCCTGCGGGGATCGTCAGCTTGCTTTACAACTTACCTTTTCATGGAGCGGGTCCGGTGTCGCCCCCTGCAGTTGGTGTCACCTGGTGCGGCCCGCACCTGCCTTGGGACGCCACTGAGTGCCAGTGTTCATTGGATTTGATGGGCAAATGCAGCTTGCTATTGACATTAAATTGAGATGCTTCAAGATCATTCAGAATTCATTGCAGATGCATTGTGCCTTTATTTGACCTCCTGATAACTTGTATTTGACATGTTTCAGGACCTGTTCACTCAACGAATCGCACAGGAACGCACTGCATGTTACTATTTGATTCAGTGCAGTTTGAGCCAATTCATTTTGAATGAGCCGAAATGGCACTGCATCTCAAGAAGAGCATTGCATGCATTACTTTTGAAAACTCACTGCAACCGGATCGCATGGTTCTTCTGAGCACTGGGTTTGCAACCTACGTTTGGGTTGGCGTTGATTTAATATTGACACCCGCTGCAGATCATGATTGCAGCGCATTTTAAGCACAGTACAGGAAAAACACATGGAACTGCGTTCCGGTGTGAATGGACCCTCAGGCTGTTGGTGCATTCCCATATGGAAGAAAAATATATTTGAAATATATTAAAAAAATATTCTTCCCAAATATATTGACATATATTTGAAATGCTACAATTTGGGCCATATTCAATTTATATTTCAAAATATATTTCAATAATATATATATATATATATATATATATATATATACTGCATGTTGAAATGTGTTTTTTATTACAAAAATATATGAAAAATATTTTTAAAAATACATTTCAAATATACTGTGTCTTGAAAAATACAAATTTACATTTTTGGAATGCATTTACAAAATATATGTAAAAATATATGTTAAAATTACTTTTTTTATATGTTATAAAGAATATATTTAAAAATATGTATTTTCAAAAATATATTTTTTTTAAATCCTGTTACTGGTGGACCTTACAGATGTCCAGTAGTTTATCTGATTGATGTTTCAATAAAAGAAATGTAAAAAATGTCCCATATAAAACAGCTGTGTGACACCTTTAACCCTGCTGGGAATTCGTAGTCAAAGATGAGTTCATCTGACATGCTGCAGCGATTTCATTGTGACCGTGCTGTGTGAAAGCAGCATCTGTTTCCTGGAGTGTAAACTATGGGTATTGTTTCAGCTGATTCAAGCTAAACAGGCCCTATTTGTAGAAAGCGGCAGTATAGGAAAATCTTTCTATCTGAAATGTTTACATGCCTGCTGCTCTAGGGGTGGATGCAAACTTTGATTGCGGCTTAGGCCTGTTGCTCAAATGAACATTGGAAAAAAATGTTTTTAAACTATTAAATGCAGCTATATCATTAATAAATACATTTTAATCATCGCCTCTATAAGTACCTATTTTGCTTCTTTATATTAGTAAACCAGGGGTTCAGGAGAGGAGTGGCAGCAGTGTAAATCAATCAAAGTACTATTCTATTGAACAGTGCTGTCAGTCTAACACAGCTTGTTTACAGGAGGGGAGAGCAGCCTGGGGGCAGGGGCTGACCTAGCTGCACTGTTTATCAGTAATGGAGAAAAGTGAGGTCACCCACCTGACTATGCAGGGGTGCGAATCACAAGAGGGACATGGCAGATTACATATTTATTCAGGTTAAACAAGTTCACCTTTTTACGTATTTTAACAACATATTTAGCTGCCTGTTTAAACCGAGAAATTCTGGTTGTCTTAAAATCCCCATCCTCTCTAATCACAGAGAATATTTAGGAAAGCAGCTTAGTCAGCCAGTAAATAATTCTAGACACAGATTTGGTTTCTTCTAGTTAGGCCATACTGACACAGTTGGGTTGCAGCCAGGGGCGGACTGACAACTCATGGGGCCCCTGACAATAGGGAATTATGGGGCCCCTGTGTCCTTGCCCAAACTCAAAAAAGCCTATGAAAAAGGTACCAGGGGCATCTCATGGGGCCCCCTACTGACCCCGGGCCCTCGGGCAGTGCCCGAGTTTCCAAATGGTCAGTCCGCCCCTGGTTGCAGCAACACAACCCAACTGTGTAAATGTGTTGGGATACATTCAGAATGAATGACAACACACGTACACTGTAAAGTGTGTTCCTATAGGTGCATAAGTGTAAATCCAGCCCATATGGATTGTGAATTCTTGATCTACATATTTTGTCTGGCTTGGGAATGGGGACCCAGAAATTATTAAAGCCAGTGGGCTCCTTGGACACCAGCGGTAGTATTTATCACCACCCTGAAAAGTGATCTGTGTTGGATTGCTTTTGAGAGCTTGTTGAAAAGAGTTTTACAGGCGCTCAAGCTTTTTTTTTTTTTTTTTTTTCTATTATCGCTGATTGGCAATTTTGCATTGTGAGAATGTGCCACAACTGTAAGTCAAGCATTTGACTTGTGGATTTGGTGCACTCCCATTCACTTACTTGAAGAGTTTGATAGGTGGTGCCCCTGTAATGCTGTATTACATGCTGTTCATACTTACTCAGTCACTGAGATTTGTTTTCTGTATTCTGCAAAAAACCTGGTTGATCCTGCTGTTCTTTATTTCTCCCGTCTGTTAATGTACCCAATTCAGCTAGGGGTTTTGCAGTGTAGTGTTGACAGCTCTGCACATGCTTATTTTTCATTGAGTTTCTATGCTGAGAATTTCCTCCCTATTACATCTGAGCAGCCCCAGTGACTGTAGAGCACATACACAATGGTAAATGAAAGCCCACCTCCTCCCTCCTCCACCATGCCCACTGACCAGCTTAACACATTGGGGATGGTATATTACATCTTGATTGATGGAGGCTTCAATTCCCTCTTATTCTAAGACACAGGCTGGAGGGGCGTGACACAGTTTATGACTGGCAAAAACAGTTATATATTTGTATGACAATTTAAAATAGTGCATTGATGTTATTTCTTTTTTCTCCATATTCCAAAGGCTGTTTTTTGTTTTTTTTTTTTATTTTAAACATGTGACCGGCAGCAGAGCACTAGAAGCTCTTCCTGCTTATGTTTCCCGGCAGCCAGGCTGGGAAACAGCTGGGTCATGTGACAGCTCTATATCGATTAAGAAAAAGGTACTTAGATGTTTTTGTTTTTAATTAAAATAATTTACAGTGCCATCATCAAGCGAAGGGACAAAGTAAATTGAACACTGTGTGTTTAGTATCACTTTAAAATTGCCGTACAGCGGTGCAATTATGTGTACACACCCAAGCAGCGCTGTGCCTGTTCCTCCTGTTTTTACCACCCCCTGGCCATTTGTGTGAAAGGAGCTTTAGAGTAGGAGAGGAACAGCCAGGCAACCTATCATTTTTAAAAGAGGTGAATTCTGGTAGCCTATATATTTGTATTTTATATCTCTATTGATTTTCTTTTCCAGCTTGCATCAGTAAATATATTTCATATCATCTCAACAAATTACCAACCTTAATAATCCAAACGTCTCCCCCTTCTCCTAAAATGAAAAAAGAAAACCCTCAAAATATTTCCCCGCCTCCATGTCCCTTATATAGTACACATTTCTTCAATCACAATACTCTTAGTGCTGTAAAATGATTTCTTCACTTCTACTCTTAACCTCCACACTGACCACCTACTACATCCAACCTATCTTCCCATCCTTTTACCCCATCTATTCCTAAATTCTTGAATTGTTCATACCTCCACCCCGTTCATAATATCCTTAGTCCTCATGCACACTGGACATTTGGAGAATGCTGGTAGCGTTAGCTGTGTAAAGTCACGTTAAAAATGTGTTTTTTTCAGCTTTTTTAGGGTTTTTGCATTGGCGTTCAGCGCCGTTTTGCCGCGTTCGCTTTTGTTTAGCATTTTTTTTTTACCCCAAAAAAAAAAGGATTTGCAGTGTGTTATTGGGTTTTTACAGCGTTTTTCAGCGTTAGAGCGTTTTTACAGCTAAAAAAACTCCTCTAGAAACCCACTAATCTAACCTGGGGTTTTTTTTCAGCCAAAAAACGCCCCCCACTCCCCCATGCTACACAAAATTACTCATTCCCCAGTAAAAAATAATTGGTGCCAGTCAACAGTATCTCACTTCTTAAAGCAGTAGTAAACACTGCTTGCTGACTTGCACCTAGGGTTGGTGTCACCCGGTGCGATAACAGTTGGTGACACCCCCTCCGGCGATCCCCGAAGAATGGATCGGATCTGCGGATTGAGCATAATGGATCGGACTCCGATCCATTATGCTCAATCCGCAGATCCGATCCAAATGGATTGGACTCCGATCCATTATGCTCAATCCGCAGATCCGATCCAAATGGATTGGACTCCGATCCATTATGCTCAATCTGCAGATCCGATCCACCCTACGGGGATCGTCAGCTTGCTTTACTACTTTCCTTTTTGTGGAGCAGGTTCGGTGTCACCCCGTATAGGTTGCATGCCGACAATCCCCGCAAGATGGATCGGATCTGCGGATTGAGCATAATGGATCAGAGTCCGATCCATTAGACGACGATTCCCGCAGGATGGATCAGATCTGCAGACTGGGGAGCATAATGGATCCATTATGCTCAATCCGAAGATCCAATCCATTCTATGGGGATCTTTGGCTTGCTTTGCAACATACCTTTTCGTGGAGCGGGTCTGGTGGCACCCTGTGTGGTAGGTATCACCCGATGCGGCAAGCACTCCCCGCACCTGCCTAGAGACACCACTGCTTGCACCTAAAGGTAAGCTTATCATACTCTTAAAGAATATCTCCTAAACATGCACCGTGCACTTTTTCTGCAGCCGGGGATGTCACTGGTGCCTGCTTGCTATACACTGAGTATACCATAGATGGCCATGGGATGATGTCACGGGTTCAGCTCCTCCCTCCTATACACATTGTGCCTTGTAATTGGACTTCCTTAAATACTGAAAGCCCCTCAACAGAGGAATGGTGTATATATACCTTTAATTTGTGGTGCTGGACTCTCCATGAATCCAGTAGCTGACATTGATGGAGCACCTTTCTAATTGTGTCTATTGATGTCACAGCCAGGTGCCCACACTTAAGATGTCAGCGCCAGGACACAGGTTGGTCAGTGAATCCAGCTGTGGTGCTCAGGATCGTGGGACAGGTAAGTGGTTGTTTTTTAAAAGTCAGCAGCTACAGTTTTTGTAGCTGCTGACTTTTATATTTTGTAAAGGAGACCGGACAACTGCTGTAACATTTGAATCATTTGTAATGTATGTTTCTTGGAGAAATGTTACATCTGTAGAGTAATGGTGCAATTCTTTTAATGTCTTTTTAGAAGGGAGATTAGACCATGAACATTGTACGTTATAAAGTTAAGTGATGCAATAACAGTAGGCGAGAGGTCTACATTTCCCATTTTTTTCGATGTGTACAGAAAGACCAAGGAAAAAAATCCAGCAAATCCACCCCTCCCCCCATATGCACCATACCTCCCGACACCGGGCCAGAATAATCACAGGCCCGTAAATGGCCCATAACTTAATTGTGGATTTCTCTCTCCCCCTCTTGAACTCCTCCACAGGTCAGTTCCTCAAATGTTGGGGAACTCTGTCCAAAAACATCTGCCCTGCTGGCTTCCTATATACTGTATATGGAGCCAAGTCCAGGAGTGTGTGACGCAGCATTCTTACTTTGCTATACGATATACAACACACCCAAAACCTAATACAAGAAAAAACAGTTATAATGGTCATCACAGATTCTTCACCCTCCACCCTGACTGAGCCTTTTCACATGTTTTTTCTTTCTTTTCCCACTATTCCAACAAATCCCTTTTGGGCAGCACAGTGGCTAAATGGTTAGCACTTCTGCCTGGCAGTACTAGGGTCATTGGTTCAAATCCCAACCATGGCACCGCCTGCCTGGAGTTTGCATGTTCTGCCTGTGTGGGTTTCCTCTGGGTACTCCAGTTTCCTCCCACACTCCAAAGACATGCTGGTAGGTTAATTGGATCCTGTCTAAATTGTCCCTAGTATGTATGAATGTAAGTTAGGGACTGTAGATTGTACACCTCTTGAGGGTTAAGAACTGATATTATTATTATTATACAGGATTTATATAGCGCCAACAGTTTGCTCAGCGCTTTACAATATAATGGGAGACAATACAGCAACAATACAGTTCAATACATGAGGGATAGGAGGGCCCTGCTCCTTGGAGCTTACAATCTAGGATGTGAATATAAAATATATATGTAAAGTGCTGTGTAAATTGATGGCGCTATAGAAGTACCTGTAATAAATAAATAAATAATACTATATTATTCCTAAAAATGGTATCACTCGCTAGACATGTGACATCCTATATGCCATATCTCGCGTCCACCAGTTTTTTTTAAAAAATGCAGCCTACATAATTATATAGGCCTTACAGTGGAACTATACGGCTCCCCAGGGTTCTTGCCATAATACTTGCTTATCAGGGCATATTTACCCACAAGGTGCCCTCCTAAAGCAATGCAAAGTCTGAGATGCCCATGGTTGCTCTGTCTGTGCCACTACCATCTTCTTCCTGGTCTGGAGTCTGGAGTCAGTCTTGGCTGGCCAGGGAAACCCTGGCAGGGATGATGCAACTCCCACACATGTGCAGCCAGCTCCTGTAGCATTCAGTGAAAAAGAAACATGCAAAGTCTCTTCTGCCACAAAACTCAACCTGCTACAACATTTTTTGAAACTTGACTTTAGGTCTGCTTTAACAAGAAAATGTACAGTCATTTGTATTGCATGCAATTTTCAGAAATTGCTGAGGCAGTAATCACCTTGGAGCTGTGTGCTAAGTGTTAAAGATCTTTATAATCTCGCAGTGAGGGGCATTTTAATTCTTACTATCCACAGGTCATAGAAATGCTTCTGCATGCCCAAATGACTGCATTTCCCACTACTGTGGAATGGCCTGTAGGATATTAGGTTTAGGCATTTACAGGAATATGTAAGTAAAGTGATGGCTTTAACTTTTAGAATATGAGAGAGGAGAAATTCAGGTTTGACACACAATTTGCTAATAGCCAGGCAGTAAAAATAGTAGTATGCTTTTTGT